ATCTGGAACATCATATGATAATGATGATAATAATAAGATAATGATGATGAAGATGATGATTGGAATGACGACTAAATAGAAAATTTTAATAATGTACTGTAATGTAATGCATTGTATTTCACGGCTCATGTAGTTCTTTACTAGGAAAGCGCCTCTGTAACTACCATCATCGTTAAATTTATTTTCATCATTATCATAACCATTGCAGTCCTCATCATCGTCATCATCACCACCATCATCATCATCTTCTTCATCACCAGATGAGTTCTCGCCGTTCGTAATGATACAGGGGGTGAGGATGAACCACGAGAACACGAGAAGGATCGTTCTTAATGACGGGGTTAAAGGTCATCACGTCATGATGACGATGAAAACGAGGATGATGATGATGATTGTAGTGATTGAAATGATGTTTTTTTCATTGTAGAAGCCTCTTTGATGAGTAGAGTGATGGTGACGCAATCAATCTAGATGGTTAACTTCTTCGGATCACTCTTCAATCATACACTTATGATGACCAACCAGTCTATTAATCACTCACTCACCTAATCAATCAATCAACCAACCATCAATCAACCAATCATCAATCAAACAATTATATCTTCACAAATCATCCAACCAATAGACATTCAGATGAGCGTAACCTTCAAAGGCGACGATAATTACGAGGTCAAGTTCAATGACTTGACCTACAAAGCTCGAGCCTCATTAGACGAAAGCCGACCTAATAAAATTGTACTCGAGTTTTCACTGGATGGATACGTGTCTAGGAGTAACGCTGTCATGAACAAAGATGTGCTGCACTTCTTCAGCAATGTTAGAACTTTTACCTTTTTTTAAAACTAGAAGTAACCACAATCACTACAATAACCACAACCACACATACAGAGCGGCAGCCACCAGATGAAGTTAGTGGCCCCATTATTCGTGGCAGCAAGCAACGCGACCTCGTCGGAGGCCACCGGCCACTCTGGTGCCAGGTCGCCCATGCCAGGTGTGGTGGACAAGATATTTGTGAGGGGCGGTCAGAGGGTGGAAGAGGGCCAGCCTGTTGCCGTCATCATCGCCATGAAGATGGAGGTTGGTACGTTCATCTCATCGTGCTGATGTATCATAACAAATACAAAATTTCATCACACGCACACACACACGCACATAAACACGCACACATACACACACACACACACACACACACACAGTACGTGATAAGAGCCCCGAAGACAGGTGTAGTAGAAGAGGTTATTTTCCAAGTAGGAGACACTGTCAAGAAGAACGCTGAACTGGTGCATATCAAGGAGGAGTGAATGGATGAATGAATGAATGAATGAATGGATGATTGAATGAATGAATGGTTGAATGGATGATTGAATGAATAAATGAATGAATGAATGAATAAATGAATGAATGAATGAGTGAGTGAGTGAGTGAGTGAGTGAATGAATAAATGAATGGATGGAGGGATGAATGAATGAATGAATGATTAAATGGGTGAATAATTGAATGGATGAATAAGTGAGCGAGCTTAAAGTCGTATGAAGGTATGGATGAATTAATGGTTGTAAAAATGAGTGAAAAAAATATAGTCAAGACTTGAGTGAATGTCTGAATGAATGATTGAAAGAATGAATGAATCAATGAATGAATAGAAAGTTGAGTTACTATTGAAACTAGGGATGCACCGGATTCAGGTTTTTCAAATCCGGGTTTTGGCCGGGGCCGGAGCCGGGGCCGAACTTCGGTGCATCCCTAATTGAAACGGTCAAAAATCTAGGCTATTGTTTAATTGAAATGAATGAATAATTTGCAAATAGTTAAATAATGTATAAAGTAGTTAATAAATTTGTAAATACTCAATTTTCATTGTAATTATTGCAAACCAACTTTCTGAAGCATAATAGTAATGTTTCCATCATCATACGTCCACAATTTAATTTAATTAATTAGTTAATTAATTAATTGAATTAATTAGCTTTCAATTCGTTTTATTTTTACATAAATTTTTCCAATGATTTTTAAAAAATTTATTTTAAATTTGGCTTACCGTACCGTACATGTGTGGTGTGTGTGTGTGTGTGTGTGTGTGTGTGTGTGTGTAGTGTGTATATATGTGTGTGTGTGTGTAGTGTGTATATGTGTGTGTGTAGTGTGTATATGTGTGTGTGTAGTGTATCAATAATTTGTGTCTTATAATCTGCGTGTGTTTTGCATTCTTCATATACCCACTTGCCTAAAATCAATTGCTTCTAATCATGATCCGTTTAGCATATTTTTAAATGATGAATTGGAAAATAAACTTGAAATATTTGAAAATGCCTTTGTTTTGTAAACTTTTACCGAAAAATACTCAAATTCGTTTCGTTTCGTTAGACATATCAACACGAACGGCTTGTCTGCATAATTTAGATTTATTATTAATTATTATTATTTAATTATAAATTGTTATTAAATCCTCAAAAAATTGTAAAATAAAATACCAAATTAGGTAATCCGACGAAGTAGCTCAGACAACAAAAGCGCTGTTAACTTGCGTCACACTGGCCCGGTTCGATTCGAATACTCTATTCAGAGCTCTAAGACACGTGTGTAAGGCTTATGCATTCATGTAAATTGAAAAAACAAACTTTAAATATTTGAAGATAAATTTTACTGGATTTAGTTTAATTGTCAGTTTTGTATTATCAAATCAAATACCGTTCGTTTATTTTTTTCGTGTTTGTTTATCCATTCGTTAAAATATTTATTTATTTATAATTGTTATTATTAGCAAGTCTGCTATCCCATGCTATCCGGTTTAGAGCATGCATCTGGTAGCATATTAATTTTACAGTTTCAAACGCCTGTGTGTGTGTGTTGGTATGTGTGTGTGTGTTTATGTATGTGTGTGTGTGTGTGTTTATGTATGTGTGTGTGTGCGTGTGGTGTGTGTGCGTGTGTGTCTGGCTTATGTCCGAGTTTATGTGTGTACTTTTTAGAGTTTAAATGGACCCATGTATGCGTGAATGGTTGCAATAATTTATTTAATTTATTTTTTTATTTCTTTTATTTATTTCATTTAATAAATAGTGATAATGATGATGTTAAAAATGTGGGATGATGACGATGAAGATGGTGACGGAAAGGAGGATGATGATGATGATGATGATGATGATAGCGGTGAAGGTGATGCCGTTGAAAATAATGATTGTTGCCAGAACATTTGATTCTGTTATCTCTAGGTAGCATCAGAGGGATTCACTCATTCATCATCGTCGTCTTCTTCATCGTCGTCGTCTTCTTCATCAACTTCTTCTTCATCATTTCTATTATCTTCTTCTTCATCTTCTACATCATCTTTTTCTTCAGCATCAACTTATTCTTCTTCATCATCTTTATTATCTTCTTCTTCATCTTCTACATCATCTTCTTTTTCATCTTCATCATCATCTTTTTCTTCATCATCAACTTCTTCTTCTTCATCTTTTTTATTTTCTTCTTCATCTTCTACATCATCATCTTCTTCATCATCATCATCTACATCACCATCATCTTCATCATTTTCATCGCCATCTTCATCGCCATCATCTTCTTCGTCTTCATCATCATCTTTATCGCCATCATCTTCTTCCTCATCTTCTTCATCATCATTATTATCATAGAATTGTGTGTACGCTAACACACAACTGTGTACGTGCGTCGTGTTGTGGCACGAAGTTCCAGTAATTTTAATCGGAGCAGCTAAAAAATTATAAAGCAGAGAAAAAATACACTCATATACGTCATCATCATTATCCTCTGTCTAATAATGATGTTGACATTTCTAGTGTGTTAATTGTATGTATGTATGTATTATTATTATTATTGTGTGTGTGTGTTTGTTTTTGTGTTGGTGTGTTTGTGTGTGTCATAATTAAAATCATTGTCGTCTTGTTTGATTTGAATAATTTTTATCATCCTTATCGTCATCATCATCACCAC